TCAAATTGAATATTTGACCAGCGATTTGACGTTACTAAGTTTCGATTCAATTTTTACGCACCTTCCGGAAAAAATTCGCATCACCTTCCTAGACCTCGCACAATATCAAATATCATGTAATACACTTTTATAAAAAAAATTTCGCACGTCCACCCTTGCCTAGAGCTGTATACAATCTAAAACCATGACTCTATTCACTTAAAGAAGTTTATTTTTTATATTAAATTCGTAAAGTGAATTCACAGCCGCGGTGGCATCTTTCGATCGTGTAGCCACATAATCAGTTCTTTGCCTTGCAATAAACAAATAACGTAAATCTTAAATAAAAATCGAATGTGTTATTGTGTTTTCCTTGCTTACAGGAAAAACAATAACTGAAATTACGATTACATAAAATATTATAGGGGAAATTCCCTCAATGATATCATCGGAGAGAGAAATTTAAACGGCTACTTCTCAGAATTTTAAGTAGGATATTTAATTCCGAGAAAATAAATACGTAAACTGTAAAGTCCACTCTTGAATGGACGTAAAAATATACGTATTTATTTTCTTGGAATTATTTGTAAGATTACTCGAGATTGCATACAAAGAAGTACAAATTTCATTAATATTAAACAGATTTTAGTGGGAATTTATATTGTAAAATATCATTCAATAAATATTCATTCAAAGAATTTTAATTTCAAGCTGCTTACACTCACATAAAAATTAAAAATAACAGTCAAAATAGAAGCAAATATCAATGATTTTTTAATAAATTATAAAAGTAAATCGATAAATTATTTTAATGGTAAATTTTAAAAAAGATAACTTAATTTGATTGGCCAATTTTAAAAATAATGGAACAAAACAATTTCACAATATTGTGAAATTGTTTTGTTCGATTATTTTTAAAATTGGCCACGCATTTTATTATAGCAGTGTAAGATTATGTAAATAGATTTATTGCCTAGAGAACAGCTTGAAAGCATATCAAATTTACCTAGAAGGATCTATATTTGATCTTTCTCGAATGAACTTCATCTTTTCACTTTGTACAAAATACCCTAATTGGGGTTCTTTCATAGAAGACCGGATGTTTAGGCTGTAAAGGCAACATTCTAGACAATCGGTGTTTGAGTACGGATGGCTCAGGAAATTTACGTACATGGGTTCAGTGGCGTATTCAAGATTTTGAGAATATGAGTGCTATTCAAGGCAAATTCGTGAGACTAAGACACGTGTTCCCTGACGTTTTTTGGAGAGTATTACTCAATTACTTTAAAATTACATTATTTAACTAATTGCAGCACCGTAAGTTTGTCCCTTGATCCGGATATGTCTGGTCCCATCTTTCGCAACCCTGTGTATCAGGCCAAGCTCATAATGAAATGGATAAAGACTCTTCTAGTGTTCTTAGGGTGGAAAGAAGGCCTCTAAAATAGTGTACTTCTATAATAGAAAGAAATGGCGTGTTTCAAAAATAATAAGAAAAGTTTTAGAATCCCACTAAATTAATTGCAAATTTACAGTTTTGAACCTTGTTTATCAAAGCAATTGCTGTTAGATTTTATAAATTAATTTCTAAATAATTTAACAAACACTCAGTTCTTAGAATAACTTTTCTCTATTCTCTTCTGAATAATTTCATAATAATTCTTTATTTTTATTTTTAATATTAAATTTTTTCAATAATATTCATTTTAAAAAATGAAAACGAAAGACACTATCTTACAAATAAACCAGTTGTAAAACAGGTGAATTGCTAAACCGGAACTAATGAATTATTTCTGATGCAATGCCGTTTTTTTTACAGGCATTTGGCAGGAGATGCCAGTATATCTTGCTACTGATGGGCAAAAAAAAATAGTGTTTTATATTTGTGAACAAATTAAACAAGTAGGCTACCAACCTTTAAGGTAATTGAGCGAACGAGAAAAAATTAAATTCAATCTTACTTTCAAATGATTTATTTTATCATTTCTTTATACAACTGCTCTTTATATGACAGTGTCCGTATAGTTTTACAGATGTTTAATTATCTCTCAGATAAGGGATTCTTAACCTTGGAGTCCATAGACTCCTGGGGGTCTGTGACAGATTTCAGAGAGTTAATGAACTTGGATCATATTTATTTTCAATAACTTCTAAATATTGTTATCTGACGGATGAGTGAGCGAGGCGGTTAATGCTTCAGCTTACAGCTCTGGGGGAACCTGGGTTCTACTCCGGTCATGCAATATCAGAGATTTTCATGGGCGGTCTGTCCCCGTCCCTCGCTACTTGCCGCTCCATTTTGAGCCTCCTTGAGTGTCCACAAGGAGGAAGGAATTAAAAAAGAAAAACTCCTTGTAATTCAGTGCGTTAATAGAACATAGATATCACAATATTCAATATATCACAAACTTATTTACATTATAAAGATTTTAATAACTCTATTTTAATATGATTGATTTCCTTTGTAATTCCATATATTTTATTATATTGTTAGAAACTTTATTCTGAGAAGGGGGTTCATAGAATGCCAAAGGGTACATGGCATTAAAAAATATTTTTTTAAACTCTTTCCGCTCTGTGAGCACTAAGAGGGTCTTTTTTTTAGAGAGAGCCCATTATGGGTTCTGCCGGGATCGTATTGAAGCGGTTGAGTGGTGAAGAACCATAAAAACAATTAAGAATTTGAGATAAATGAAATATAATGTATTATTGTTAAGTAGGTACAAGCAACATGAAATTAAAGTAGCCTTTTTATCTTAATACTGACTGATAAATGAATAATAAGAGTTTATTTTTACCATTTCTTTGTGAGTAACTCTGAATTTAACAGTTCTTTCTTGAATATTGTTACATCATACCGGAAATTCCGAGAAATGACTGCCTGAAATCTTCCTTCTAACAGTTTCGTGGTAAAGTTTTAACTCTGTATCTTATTAATTGTAAAGAATTTTGAACTTCTCTTATCACGTAACATCTAGAATATATCCAGTTACGTGGAAATATCAGTGAGCAAGAAAAGTGGGAAGTAGCAATGAGTCTGCAACAATTTTAGTCATAGTGCTGGAAAGATTCTTATCAATTAAAAGATTTTTATTCATTATTTTTTTACGATATAATTCACAAAAGTTAGGAAATTTCCATCATGGGTTCGGCCGGGCGCGCAATGGAGCAGCCGAATGATGAGGGACGGGCCCAATATATCCAAGACAGATCGTGTCGAAAAATTACTGGAGTTGCCCAGAGCGGTAGGCTGGCACCTTAACTGCCTTGATCATCCGGCCGTCTATATATAGGAATTGAGAGAAATGAGATGGGGCCCTGTCTAGTCACGGATTTGAGGCCTACTCTTTTCTGAAAGCTTACAATGTATGAGTAGGACTCAGAAACGAATACGGGTGATCCATTTCATTGGACCCCATCCCTCACCACCCGATCGCTTCATTCTGAAACTAACCAAACCTATGATGAGCCTGATAAAAAAGGTCTTTTTAGTGCTCAAGGACAGAAAGAGTAAAAAAACGTGATGTGTAGGAATGAAATCAAAAACACACATACCAAAAAAAGCAGATTTTGCACTATTTATCAAATGAAACAGTAATTTACATCATGATTTATATTATAATAAATTTTTCGGTTTATCAGTTTCTATGTCTAAGATTCTGTTGATCTTGATGGCCCTGCAGGCCTTCTCTATCTGGGCTCGTAAATATACAATTATTATAGATACTTGTGTAACACATTATTAATTAATGTGTTCGAGTTTTACCTTTTCCTTTAGAATACATCTAAATTCGATATATATATAAGACGAATTGCTGACAAATACAATGACTTTGATAGTGGAATGAATAAAATTAATTTATAAAAGTCCTATTTAGTAAGGGATTGGATTGAATTCTTAATTAATGAGAAGCACTTGCTTATACGACTGCACTGTACATAGTACAGTCGTATAAGCAAGTGCTTTTCATTAAGGAATGATTGGTGTTAAGATTAATGATTACAGACAATTTCCAAGAGTAATTAAAATAGTTTTAATTATGCTTGGCCTTAATATTGTCCTTTATAAACACTCTTGATTCGCTTGTTTGATAGGAAAAGGCAACGTAATACGAGAACGATCTGTCAGGAAAGATGCTTCCCAGAAGGACTTTCTATGGGCAAATGACCAGTATTTAGTGATAGAAACAGTAGAAAATCCGGAAAACTGCTGCGACTAGTTCGTTCGTCATGCGATAACCCTGGATCAACTGCCAGTTTTCAGTGGTTTTTATCCACTCATCGATTCGATCACTGGTGGCTAGCTTGATCCTCCTATTTAGTATTGCGATTAAAAAAATAGCCACAGCAATTGTAAGGGATAGGCCTATATGTATTTAAGTCCAGATAGAGAGGCCAAGAGCACCCTTTAGATTATTTCCGGGTAAAGA